AAATATCTCAGTCACAAAAGGATAAATACTGCATAATGCCACTGTTGTAAAATGGGACTGACATCGGGGTTAGGAGGAATCTGAGAAAAGGGGGAATAAATAATGTATACTGCATTGAAACAGATGAGGGAGAGAACTGTTTAGGTATTATTGTCATGACAGGAGTCCAGAATGAAGGCTGCACAGTGGAGTGGACTTGGGCAGAGTGATTTATAACAATAAAAGAATTTTTCTTTTACTTTTCAAAGAGAAGAGTGAATTGGGTGGGAGGTGTGGTCAGGGAGAAAAGTGCAAAAATGAATGAATGGATATACCAAAGTCTCTGTAAACATTCATTACAATTAATTTTTAAAAAGTTTAAAAAAGAAGAGTTAATCTGGATATTAAAGACTTTTGAGATTTGCAACAATGAATGAATAGTAATCCAAGTTCTTTATAAACTTACAATATAATCTCAATAAAAAAAGAACTAAAAAAGTATTTTAAAAAAAGTTGTGATTTAGACAGAGTTTAAGCCAGTATGTGGGATGGAAGAAATAACAAATAATTACTAAATGCTTATTATGTGCTTGGCATTATGTTAGTGTCAGAAATAGATTTCTGCACTATATAATAGTCAATATATTTCACATTGCCTCTGGCCTCCTGAAACTTACAGTCTAGTGACAGAGACAGACATAAACAAGTACTTATCTATTGTTGTTGTTATGTGCCAAGTTGACTCTGACTCATGGCAAGCCTATAAAGAACAGATCTGAACTATACTTTATCCTGTGCATCCTTACTATCTTTGACATGCCGGAGCCCGTTGTTACAGTTACTGTGTCAATCCATACATCTTGTTGAGGGTCTTCTCTTTCTCTAACTTTCTACCTTTCCCAGAATAATGTCTTTTTTTTTTCTTTTCTTTTAGCATAATGTCTATTTCTGAGGACTAGCCCCTCTTGACAACATGCCTAAAGCATGTACGATGAAGTTTTACCATCCTTGCCTCTAAGGAGCAACCAGGGTACACTTCCACCAAGATAGACATGGTTGTTCTTTTGACAGTCCAAGGACATTCAAAGGCATCAATTCTTCTTCAGTCACCCTTATTAATTGTACCATACAACTACATAATTACAGTCTTCAAGGTAATTATAAAGGAAAAGTAATAGGAGAGCACATGATGTGGGAACCTGAGCTAACCCAGGGAGGCATCTAATATGGGATTTGAAGGAAATGGAGGTATTAATCCTGGGAAGATTGGGGGGGCACGGTTTTAAAGCACATAAAGTAGAATGAACAACATTGTGCAAGACCCTGAGAAAAGAGAGAACTTGGGAAGTACGAGGAACTGAAAAGCCACCAGAAAGGGAGATGAGGAGAGGGCTAAAAAGCTGATCCTAGGGAGCTCTGGTAACTTAGTGGCAAGAAGCTGCACTGTAATTCCAGAGGTACACAGTTTGAATCCACCAGATGCTCTGCTGGAGGAGGGATAATCTCCTCCTGTACCAGTCAGATTCGATTTGACAGTACACACACAAAAATATAATAATTTTAAAAAAAAATAACTGGTCCTACGGAACTTAAGACCATATTTAATCTTGTTTAGATTCACAGTCAACATCCTTGGTACCAACAATGAGGAGATCAAGAGACATATAGTATTGGGAAAGCCTATGGTCAGGGATTGCTCCAAAAGTCCTGAAGAGTAATGATGCCAGTTGAAAGACTAAGGTTCCTGATTCAAGCCATAGTCTTTCCAATCATCTGCTATGCATCTGAGAACTAGACAATGAATAAGGATGACAAGAGAAGAACTGATGCATTTGAGTTGTAGTGTTGGAGCTGAGTGCTGAATATCCTATGGATTGTCAAAACAACAAAACAGATATGTCTTGGAGAAAGTGCAACCAGCATGTTCCTTGGAGGCAAAGATGGTGAAGCTTCATCTCACATATTTTGGACACATTATTCAGAGAAGTTATCCTTGGAAAGGGACATCATGTTTGGAAAGGTAGAGGGTCAGTGAAAGAGAGGAAGATCCTCAACAGGATGGATTGATTCAGTATCAGTAACAATGGACTCAAACATGTTGAGGATGACAAGGATGGCGCAGGACAGGACAGAGTTCAGATCTATTGTTCATAGGGTCACTATGAGTTCTACTCAGCTCTATGGCATTTAACAACAGCAGCAAATAGCTCAGAGTAAAAAGTGATAGTGACTGAATTTAGTAGCAGCAGAGTGAACAAAGAGAGCTGTGAACAAATATATTTAATTGGGGAGTGCAGGAGCCTGGGTGGTCCAAGTGGTTTTTAATCCTAATTTGAGAGTCAGTGGTTACAACTCACTCACCCAGCTGCTCCATGAAAGATAGACCTCATGATCTGTTTCTGCAAAGATCATTGCCAGGAAATTCTATGATCAGATGTCGACAAACACATGAAGAAACGCTCAAGTTCATTAGCTATCAGAGATGCAAATCAAACCAACAATGAGGTATCAGGTCACTCCAGGTTAAAGAAAAACCCTCCCCATTGTTGACTAAGACATCAAACAACAGAGGTTGATAAGGGTGTGTAGCAATTGGAACTCTCACATACACTACTGGTGGGAATGTAAAAAGATGCAACCTCTAGGTAGAGCAGTTTGGAACGTCCTTAGAAAGTTGGGAATAGAAATACCATTTTACCTGGCAACCCCACCTACAACTAGGTATATATCTCAAAGAAATAAGATCTTTAACACAGACATATACACATCCATTGTGCAGTTTTCTGCACTACTATTCATAATAGCAAAGAATTGAAAACAACTCAAGCGCCCATCAATGAACCAAAGGCTAACCAACATTCACACAATAGAATATTATGGATCACTAAAAAATAATCTAGATCTTGTGAAACACTGAACAACATGGATGAAACTAGGACAACTATGCTGAGTGACAGATCAATCCCAAAAGAATAATACTGGTATTAGCTCACTAATGTAAAAAACGAAAAAAATGTTTAGACACATAATCTGTCTTGAAGCATTAACAGAACAGGGATGGGACGGGAAGAAGGAAGCAAGAAGCAAATCAGCAGTATTGGTATTTAAAAAAAACCAACTCTGTGATGTGATTGATATGAAGAATTAATCACCTCCTCCAAAGCTGACAGCTTAATCGTGCCACTCCTTCGTACTGGTACATCTCATAGTGAATGAGCCTGTGTACAACAGAATGAAACACAACCCTACCGTACGTTTCCTTATAATTACCGCTGTACTTCAGCACACTGCATCCACTGTGTTAGGTCTTAAATGCCTTTTGGGCCAGGGATATGAAATGAAAAGCTTGTTTACAACAGGGGGCTCAGCTCGGTAAAGGGCAACCAGTTTATGGTCCTGTCTCTGAGAGAGCAAGGACGCCTCTGCTGAGAGGCAGGGGGGGAGGTAGGTCTTTTCGGGTTAGGAATTCCATCCCTAAACCCGCAGAAGTAGACTCACACTCCTTACTTCCCTATGGTCGGCCCACTTACTCCCTGAGACAGACTTAACAAGGAGAAGACTTAGCAGCGTAGGACTCCCTGCTCTTGCTCTGAATTTTTTCACTCGGTCTAAATCTCTACTATCCTTTAGGGCCCCAAATTTGGCCTCCAGGAAAGTGAAGAGTTAAGTGTCCTGCTCCATTTTGAGGAATATACTTAAGAAATATAAAATCTGAAGCTAGATAGGCAGCTGGGGAGAACTCTAGCCCCGTTTCTGGCTCCCAAATCGAGCGCTGACCTCAGAAGCAGTAACCACCCAAGTACTCCAAGATGACCGCAGCTCTGGGATGAGCTGGACGGAGGGGCGGAGCGGACCTATGTGACGTCACAGGAACACGCCCCTCTTGGGAGGACGCTGCGCCTGCGCCAGATTGGCCTCCTCGCTCCCGGAAGTGGAGGGTCTGCAGGCAGAGTGCCGCTGGGTCTGGGTGCCGGGTGACAGCAGCGCTCGCGGAGCTTGCCTGTCGGCCCCCAGCCAGCATGTCGTCCTTCGACACCAACCCCTTCGCGGATCCAGTAGACGTAAACCCCTTCCAGGTAATGCCCTCAACAACTGACACCTCTTTCTGGGGCCAAGGACCGCCACCCGGGCCTCTTTCGCGAGAGCCTGGAGACGTGGCGTAGGAGGGACGGGCTATTTGGCCAATTGGAGAGCGAGATATGAAGGCCAGCCTATCTCAGCCCTTGGGGGGCGGGACTAGCTGCAGGTGGCCTGGCGGAGGGGGCGGGGCGCGGTAGCCTGAGGATAGGTGGGGTTTTTTAGCACCTGATGCACCCCTTTTAATTTAGCACTATTGAGGAGGAGGACGGAAACAGCCTGGGCAAACCCTCGAGGAGATTTTCCTAGTGTCAAGAAGAGGAGCCCGTCTATGGGGAAATACTACTACCACATCTCGCAGTTCTAGGAGAGAAACATGCCTTGAGTCACCTTAGGAGGGAGTGATATCAACACTGTGAAAATGTTGAATCTTCTGATTGGAGAAATGTGGGAAGACCTTCTCCTAAGCCTCCTTCTCCTCTCTCTCCTTCACTCACTTAAAACAACTAAACAAGTTTATTGCATGAAGAGCCCTTGAGGATTGTCAGGAAGTGAAGGCTTGGAAAAGATGGGCAGATAGTCCAACTTGGGGAAGAAAAACCCAAACCCTTTGATAAGAATTCCACACCTTGGCCATGAGACTAGTTTGGAGTGGTTTTTGATCAGACAGAAAGAACCTAGATTAGAGAGTAAAGAGAAGTGAGGAGGTTCAGAAAATCTCCAAATAGGAGCAATATTGGCCTGACTGGTGTGGGTGTGGCTGTGGGTTGACAGTAGTTGAGATGCACTGGTCTATGAGCTGGTCTGACCTTTTGGACTAACAAGAAAAAAGACAATATTCCTACTTTTTTTTTTTGGCAAAATGTGTTGTATGAGTATTCCTACTTCTTAAAACTTTTCTACATTTGAACTGAGAGTACAAGGATCTTGTGATGAAATGCAAGGAAGAACTCCAGTTAGATCCCAAACCTTGTGCCTCTTGTTGCATGTCGGCTGAGAATAATTTTGGAGGTCTGATCAGTGTTTTATGAGTGCTGCTTTGTCAAGATGTCATCAGGCATAGTTTGTTTTGCATTTTACTTTGCTTTTTGGTACTTTATTTTAGTCATTGGCAACTTCAAAGTTTCCTGCAGGTGTAGGGGAAGTGCTTGGAGAGGGCTTTCCTGTGGCTGACAGCGTGAGCTTCCCCACCACGAATCCCTCAGAGGATTAGAGCATGACCTTTCTGATCAAAGACAAAGGAGATTGAAAAATTATACATTGTCAGGAGAGTGAACACATTATACTTATTTCTTGGACTCGGGGTGACTTATCCAATGGGAGCCCTCCAGGCAATTTTTGTTTGCTTGTTCCTTGTAACATCTGGGAATTCTGAGCATTTCTCTTGTAGCTTAATGCTTCTTGACAGAACCTTTACAAGGACCTTGTCTCTTATGTAAGGCAGTCATCTCTAGTAACTGTAAAGGAACAACTTTTGCATTTTTTCCTATAGTGTTTTATGGTAACTGTTTCCCTTTGATTACACAATTGGTGCATAACACCAGAGTTTGGTTATTGGTAAAGAACTCGGTAGCTTTTTGTGTGTATGATGATTTGCCTTTTTTTCTCCCCTTCCCCCAGTCCTGTTGGGATCAGAAATAAAATGTTTGCTATTTGACAGGCAGGCAGGCAGTCAGCTGTTAAGAGATGCAGAGAGCTCATCTCCGAGGCTGCCAGTGAGCAAGATTGTTGGACTGAGTCCTGCTCTGTATTAATAGCAACTTGACAGTCTCAAACCACATCTCTAGCGCCAGAAATGATTGTGCAAACTATGTTAGAAGTAACTTCTGCACTCAGCAAGAAGAGCTGTCTCTCAGGCAGCCCCAGGATATGACAGGACAGGAAGCAGCTGTGCTCCTATAAACAGGAGCATCTGGTGGGGAATCCTGTGTGGGAAGAAGGGAGCTGGCTGCCTTCTTCTGGGCTGACTTTTTCCTCTTGGCACAGGATTGTATGGTGAAAAGCAGCTTTGGAAGTGAAGCTTCTGAGCTCTTTCTAGTTAGAGCTTCCATCCTCTTCTTGAAGTGGCAGTTTCTGCTTTCCTGACTACCAGGGCTGGGACTTTGGAAAGGTACAGCCCTTGGGTTACTGGGTGTGAGCCCAGCTTCATTTACCCAGGGTGTTGACATCGAATTCAGGAAACAGCAGTTAAAGAGCTGATAGGCTTAGGAACCATTACACTGAATCATCCTGCAGAGCAAAGTTGATTTTCCTTCATTCCATGAAATAATGTGGATATGCTTAGCATTCAGAACCCATGGTTGACTGTTAAAGCTGGAAATCACCTCAGAAATCTGTTCCAAACCCTATAGTTTATGGAGTTGAGGAAACCAAGACCTCAGTGAGGATGACACATGATGAAATCATTAGCTGATTAGCAGGAAGGGACCCAGGTTTGGGTCTAATTCCCAGGACAGAGCTATTTTAGAAGCTTTTGAAGCTCCAGTATTGATAATACAATGCCCTGGATTTATTTTTCCTCCACTAAGGAAAGCCACGATCCATCTTGTTGTTGTTATGTGCCATTGGGTCACAAGCGACACATAGCATCCCTATGCAGAACAGCTCTGAACTCTGCCCTATCTGGAGCCAATTCCATTGTCTCCAACACCCTATCCCCATTACTGTCAATCCATTTCATCCAGGGTCTTCATCTCCTGCACTGTCCTCCCACCCTTCCAAGCATGATGTCCTTCTCCAAGAACTGGTCCTTCCTGGCCACATGTCCAAACTATGTGAGAAGGAACTTCAAAATCTTTGTCTCTAAGGAATAGCATGGTTTCACCCTCTCCAGCACAGACCTGTTTGTTCTCTTAGCAGTCCATGTTATTATATTCAGTACTCTTCTCCAGTATCACAACTCAAAGACATCATTCTTCTATAATCCTTGATCATTGTTTAGCTTTCTGATACATAGCAAGTAATTACAAAGACCATGGCCTGGATCAGAAGCACCTTAGTCTCTAGACTGACATCATTGCTCTTCAGTACTCTGGAGAGGACCCTGACAGCAGATTTTCCCAATGCAGTTTGTCCTTACTATTCTTGAAATGAGAGTGCTAGTAGTAGTGAAAAGAGTAAGTTAATATTGACTATTTCCCGCTAGCATGTACACATGGAATTACAGAGATTTCATTGTGCTTTTTAAGACAGCAATTCAAAGCAACCTGTGCTAAATTATTTTCTGTATAGCAATACACTTGAAAAATGTTTGGAGGTTTGTTGTCAGATAAGTTTAGGAACATCTACCTAGTCTCTTTTTCTTGACGATGGACAAGATCTGCTGGTTTGTTAGAGGTCCTGAGGCATCCTCCTCCATTGAAGTAATTTACTCAACTTTTTTGACCCAGCACCTCTCCATATTATTCAACCATAGGACCCTTTAGTTTCTAGCTCTTGTATTATCCTATAAAATACCATGGGTGCCTTTATTTCCTTATTCTCCTTTACTGGCCCCTTGCCTCCACCCCCAACCAGTGCTGTGCATGTGTGTTTGATGATCTTTACTAATAGGTATAATTGTGATTATTCTAAAATAATATGCGAAGTAAGGCAACTGTGAATGGAAAGTTAAGTCACAAGAATGAACAGAGGTTTACCAAACTGCTAGGAGGAAGCAGGAAATTTCAAGCCATGTGTTGCAATTTCACAGCCTCTCTTGGCACACCCTAATTCCTCTGCTCATTGTGGCACATCTGCCTTGTACCCTGTGGATATACGAATCCCGCCTTTTCAGTAAAGGCGGTGGTGCAGTGGTAGTTAAGTATTTGGCTACCATCTGATAGGTTGGAGGTAGTTCAAGCCCACATGCTGATCTTTGGGAGAAAGATGTGGCAGAGTGCTTCTCAAAAATGCTGATTTCTAGGGAGCTCTGGTGGCCTAGTGGCAAGACGCTGCACTGCAATCACAGAGGTACGCGGTTCAAATCCACCAGATGCTCTGCTGGAGAAGGAGGAAGCAACCTCCTCCTATATCAGTCAGATCTGATTTGATGGTACACTTAAAAATAATACAATAAAAAATGCTGATTTCTGGGTCCTGCAGTGTCATAGAGGGGTTGTGAGTTGGAATCAAATTGATAGCAAGTGGTCTGGTTTACTGTTGTGAATAATAAATATTGCAGTAAACATGGTATGCATAAAAGTGTATTCATGTCATGGTTCTGGTTTTTTTAGGGCATGATACCTAGTAGTGGGATTGCTTGTCCATATGCTATTTCTATTTCTAGCTTTGTAAGAACACACCATAGTTTTCATAGTGGTTGTACCATTTCGCATTCCCAAGGTTTGGTTTGCTTTGGACTGATTGCAGAGTCTCTTCTTTCTAAATGGTTTTCATTAAGTCTCATCAGTGGTAGAGGGGCTATGGGTTGTACTGTCCTTTTTCTTTTTCAACAGCCCACCAAAAATCACGATGCCAAGAGCTACTTTCTTTTAAATCATTTCTGGTGATTATTCCAGGAGGACTGCATTGATTGCAAGGAGTGGGTGGAATAGGTGATGGTGCTGAATAGAGAAAGCCGTTTAGTGTTCTTAAATTGACAGATCACACAAAATCCACTTTCACACATTGCCTTCTTGCAGTTAAGAGAAAATCTTAGTACTGTGGCTGCTTCCCAAGGATTTAAAACATTTCTCTCCAGTAGGAGGAGGAAGAGGTGACAGAAACAAGATTTGGATATGACAAAGTTACATGAAGTTTCCTGCACAGACACTTAGAAAACCAAACAGAACAACTTGCCATCCATTTGATTCCAGCTCATGGCAGTACCATGAGGAGAACTGTCTCCACAGAGTTTTCTATGTCTGATATTTTGAAACAGATCACCAGGACTTTCTTCTGAGGCATTTCTAGGATGGTTTGAACCACTGACCTTTCAGTTTGTGGTCAAGCACCTGACTGTTTACTTTGCCTGAGGATTTCTGCACAGTCGCTTAGGGCCTTGCCATTTCCCAGGGAA